TATGTTTTGGGTTCTCTTGCAATTACTAACTCAATAATTAAAAAACACAAATCCCTTTTAAAATAAACTAAATAATCAGACATATTTGAATCACTATTTATGTTCAAAATAGTACTTAAATGTAACAGTAAAAATACATCCATAAATAGATTTCTCTTTATAGGTTTATCAATTACATTAAAAAGCCATGGGACAGTTCACACATGGATTGACCAATGAACTTTAGACTTGAAAAATCAGTTAAAAGGCATTCAATTTGTGAATGCTTTGTAAAAATGTAATTTAAAAAAAGCTTTATTTATGAAGTTATGTAATTAACGGCATTGTTTTAAACATGGATTTTTAATACATACTGTAGTTGTATTGACAATTTAAAAGCAATTAATTCATTTAAAATTTATTTAGAATTTTTGAATTCATACACTCAAAATTAACAACTTAACATATGTCTAATCATAATTGGACTAATCACTATACAAAACATACATAAAACAATTATCCTCAACAAGCTGCATGAGTTACATCATTTATTTAGAGTGTATTAAACAAATACATTAAATATGAATACATGTTAAAGATTTTTTTCAAACCCTTAACTTTGAGCAGTTGTTGTATGCATTATTATATATTTAAAAAAAAATCAGAATAAGCAGTGCATATTCTTGATAAGTACATAAAGATAATTTAACTGATGTTATATGTGTTTATCATCTATTCTATATCTGATGCTGCATTTTATTAGTGTGTAAATGAATGTCATATTACATTAATCACTTCATATCACTTTGATTCATCTTGACATGTTTACAGTCTGTTTACTTTTGGAAGACTAATGTCTCCAATATCACAAATTGCACCCAGAAACCTGAGATTTTGGGATTTCCACTTAGAAAATTAGAAGCTAGGGAGAGAGAAAGAAAATATATGGGGATAACAGCTTCTCTTATGTTTGCCCAGAGCGAGTGGCTTAATCTAATATCACAGAGTCACACAGCTGTTTATTGATCATAAAAAGGGAGTGTGTTATTTTAAGCCAGAAGCAACTACATTCAAGTCCCCACACACACACAATCAATCCCTTCCTCTCTGACGCTCGAACACAGACACACAGTACTGAATGTTAGTCTGACTGCTTGAACGCCTCTTGCTGTGCAGTAGTGTATCGAAGTCAGTTCATGCACTCTCAGAAAAAAAGGTACAAAAGTTGTCACTGGGGTGGTACCTCTTCAAAAGGCACAACTTTGTACCTAAAGAGTCCATATTGGTACCTTAAAGGTACATACTGTATTAGTACCTAAAGTGTACATATTAGTACCTAAAAGGTACAAAAATGTACCTTTTGAAAAGGTACCGCCCTAGTGAAAGCTTTTGTACCTTTTTTTCTGAGAGTGTGGAAGCGAACACAATAAGCCATTTCCTTTGAAGTTTATGAATGGTTTGACATGCAGGTTAAGTGTTTTGGGGCGAATGACTGAGCCAAAGGCTTGTTCTCATGAAGACTGCACTGTTAAAACAGTCTATTGTGATACTAACATGGTTTGTCAGTTATAAATCAGTCTTAAACATTCAGAACAAATACTTCATATAGAAGATATCTTCAGCATGCATAATAAAACAACATATTTCTGACAGAGTGTAATAGTCCCCTTGATTTATTATTTCTATTCATTCTGAACTGCATTACACATTTGCCGAATGTCAAGTTTATCAATTACAGATACATTTGCAGTACAAATTTCTTCCTGTGAATTGAATTGTGTGTGTGTTATGCTAGACACACAGCTGCAGTGGCCCCCAAAATATTTGGGCACCACAATACACTTACAAATGTATGAATGTCACTGCATTTCATTCAAATACTAAACCAAATGGCATATCTTACTTTTTTTTTTTTTAAAAGACAACAAATGAATGAATGAATGAATGAATGAATAAGTACAGTACATATGTGTCAGGGTCCTGCCCTGACAGTCATGTCTGTTCTGTCTTTGTTTAACGTTTCCTTGTTTGTCTTGTGTCTGAGCTCCTCTCGTCCTGCCCCCTTGTTTCCCTCTACCACGCCCCCTTGTTTGGTCCTAGTCTAGTCCTCGTTAACTTGATTGTGTCCACCTGTTCCTCTTGTGTTCTGCTCCTTTATAGTGTGCCTCTTCCCTCATGTCTCTGCTGGTTCGTTGCATTAGTTCCTTGTGTCAAGAGAATTCTTTGTCAGTCTACTAGTCGTATTAGTAGTGTTATTTTACACTCCTTTCAGTCTAGCTTTGCATTTAGTTTTCTAGAGGTTTATTAGGTTTTCTTTGCTTTTTGATGTTTTGCTCTAGTCTAGTTCCTGTCTTTATTTTTGTTCTAGTTTTATCAAACCTCTTGTTTGGCTTCTTTCCTTATTTTGATCTCGTCTGTTTTTATTCTAGTTATCGATTCCTAGATTTTGCCTTATGGTTCATTCTTTTGTTTATTTGCTCTCTGCAGTTTGAATTTGTTTTTCTTTGTTCTTTTCTTTCTAGTCATAGTGCGTAGTCAGAGTTTTATCTTGCTGCTTGTTCTCTCTTGTGGTCTTGTGTTTGTTCCTGTTCTGTGTCCTGATTCCCCTGGCTGCTGTTCTCAAGACCTGGCTATCTGACTGGACTGATTTCACCACAGCTCAAAGTATCAAGCCCTGGTTTCTCAAGCTGCTGCCTGATCTCCAGTGTTCTCATTATCTGGGGCCGCTCTATCATCCTTGTTCTCCAGCCTAACTTTGTCCAGGTCTGACCTCAGCCATCCTCCTGTTCTCCTGCAGACTGCCCTTTCCTACTCTTTGGACATCTCATTCGTTCCTTGTCTTGTCAATAAACCTCACTCCCTTGATCATTCTGCATCTGGGTCTCTCTGTAGTAAACTGCTGTGACAGACCGTGACATGTATTTAATGGTAATTCTGGAAAAAGTAAAACAGTGATGTAACATTCAGCTTTGAGGTAGTCGATATGTGCATAAGTGTGTTCACGCATGCATATGTTATTAATATACCTAGCAACGTAAAACACAGCATGTGAGAACTTCGCTATTCACATGACAGCATATAAACAAATACATGAATATTTAAAATGCTGGTAGTGATAGGAAGGGTACTTGGGGGAACAGTGATTTGTTTGCAGTTGAGGCAGTGTACTGTGGTGTGTAACTCCTAGCACACTGTGAAGTAAGGGCACATACAGTTTGAATGCTATGAAAGACTGACGTTACAGAACTCTTTTCACCCTGTCTCTTCTCTTGCCCGCCTCTTCTACTGTCTACAATGTTCTTGCGAAACAAGCACTTTGTAAAGCATCAGAATCAGAATTCAACCAGACAGCATTACCCATTTCCCGTCCACATGAAATGGGCCTGCAAACACGCACACTGGCCATGGAGAACATCAGGACTTTGATGCCAGTCAATTTGAAGCCCAGACAGATACATATACAATGTAATTATAGTAGGATTTAAAGGAAGAAAAATGTTCACCATCATCAGACTGGTCCATTTAAGCAGCATGGAGTGCACCGGCAATACAATGTACAATCTGTAGAGCAGCACTAGCCAAAGCACAGCTTATCTATCACTTAATCACGGCAGTTTTAAAAGATTGTTCCATCCACCCCTTTCTTGAATAGGAATAGTGTTCTAGTGGTAACTTTTTCCTAGCTCTTTCCACAGCTACTGTATATGCAGGAGTCCTCCCTCCTGTTAGAAACCAAAGCCAGGTCAAGTCTGTAAAAAATGCAATCAATTGCAATGTTTCTTTATTCAAGTGATTTTTTTTAAATACTGACTGTTTATATATTGTTTCATAGTAAATAATTTAGTTGTTCAATTGAAAACAGCTAAGATGAATCAAAGTAGAGTGAAAATCCAATTTATCATCATGTACTAGATAATAGCCCCAGTATTATCTAATTGATGATGATATGTTGTTTTTTCACTGTACTTTAATTACTCTGTAGGTTAGGTTGGGTCAGCATATTTTTATTCCCTTGCACACAAATGCAAACAAGCTCTGTTTGGATATGTAAAAAAAAAAATCATCCAATACATTCTGAGTAATTATTGAAATATTTGAGTACAAACAAAACCCAATTTCCTTTTAAGAGAGTCACATGCAATATATTCTCCATATCTAAAACAACCATTAAGTTATTGTATATTGTTCTATCTTTAGCAGTTGTTTGATTTAGGTCGCACTGTAATTAAAAAAGCAGTCTATTTTAAGGGTTTCCCTTCATTAGCCAAGTGGAGAGGGTCTCATAAGCTAATAAGGTGGATAGATGTAAAAGTAAACTCTTCTGTATAGAGTGTGTGTTTGCATTATCAGGATGAGGTAAGCTGTTAGACGTTAATTGGTCTTGGAGAGCGTGCGAGTGTGTCTGTGTGATTGATTTGTGCTAAGTTTTGCTCTCAGTAGGTGAGCAACTGTAATGATTATATACACATGAAAAACATGGCGTCAACTAAACAAAAATTAACTTTTTAAAAATAGCTCCAAAATGCCACTAGACAATATTCTGCACTCTGTATCACCGTTAATAGTTGGAAATTAAGGTACAATGGAAGTAGTGGGTGTTCATTTGGACTTAATTGTAAAGCGCCATGGCATTAAGTTTGGGTAAGTGGGTTATTTCATAATGTGCTGTGCAAAATATTCACATTTATATAATTTTGTACTCTTGTTACTCTCTCTGAGGGAGCATTGTTACGACTTGACCTAGTTTTTTCAAATATCAATAATCATGTTCTTTCTTCTTATTTCTGCAGGACGCAATATGAAAATCTGGTCATGAGCGGGTATCTGATGAGAAATTATGTCCTCGGAAAACACAAGCACTTCCTGCCCTGTGGGAGGCTATGCGTGGGAATGCTCAGATTCGCTATCTGAAAAGCTATTGCACACAAACAAGACTCTGGTCGTAAATGAAGCTTCCTTTCCAGTGTGACAAGACACCAAGCGTACACTGAACAGAGAAAAACAAAAATCGGTTTTCTCAAGCTGATGTTCCTAACAGAACTGTTACATTCAATTACAATCAAAGCCTTGTTGAATATCCTGTGGAATACTGCTAAAAAGATCATAACGTGTGTAAACAACAACAACAAAAATCTGCTGTGGCTATGGCTGAAGCACAGATGTCTATTTCACCTGGGTCCAGTGGACATGGAGGAGGTATGGTGACCAGTGCCTTACTTTGCTGGGCAATGGCTCTTGTGTTCCTCTCATTGACAAGGGTGCCTGTTGTTCAGGGTGACTGCTGGCTGATTGAAGGGGAAAAGGGATTTGTATGGTTGGCAATCTGCAGCCAGAACCAGCCACCATATGAAAATATCCCATTGCATATTAACAGCACAATTGTTGACCTGCGACTCAATGAGAACAAGATTCGAAGCATCCACTTTTCTTCCTTAAGTCGCTTCGGCAATCTCACATACATGAACCTGACTAAGAATGACATCTCTTATATTGAAGATGGGGCTTTCTCAGCCCAATTTAATCTTCAAGTGTTGCAGATTGGCTTTAACAAGCTGAGGAACTTGACCGAGGGAATGCTGAGAGGATTGGGACGCTTACAGTACCTGTACCTTCAGGCTAACCTGATCGAGACCGTCTCAGCCAATGCCTTCTGGGAGTGTCCTGCGATTGAAAACATCGACCTTTCCATGAACAGGATTCAGCTTCTGGATGGTGCTACATTTCGTGGTCTGTCGAAGCTTACAACGTGTGAGCTCTATGTAAACCCGTTCAGTTGCTCATGTGAGCTGTTGGGATTCCTGCGCTGGCTTGTTGCATTCCCAAACCGGACAAGTGAGCGGATGGTGTGCGACACGCCCCCTGGCTTTTCAGGCTACAGCCTCTTGAGTCAGAACCCCAGGATGCCAAGATTTCGGAATGCCTTCCATGCACTCTCCTCTGTCTGCATCGATGACAATGAGACACCGAATCTTCAAGGGTCTTCAGACGAGTGCACTCCAACAATGTTAAGCCCTTGCGGACTGGATGACTGTTCCTCAGGAACAGAGGAGGAGACCATAAGCATCAGCCCCACCTTTGTGGATCCAGATGCACGTCCTCTAATGAAACTAAAAGACATTACCCACACAAGTGCGACAATCTCGATTCAGATTCCAAATCCGTTTAGAAAAATGTACATCCTTGTCTTGTACAATAACAGCTTCTTCACTGATATCCAAAACCTGAAAAGCCAGAGAGAAGACATTGAGTTACAGAACCTTAAATCTCACACTAACTACACTTACTGTGTGGCATCCATTCGTAATTCATTGAGGTTCAACCACACCTGCCTGACCATCTCCACAGGACCAAGGACATTGCAAGAACATGTGGCAAATGATTCAACCGCCACTCATTACATTATGACCATCCTCGGTTGTCTCTTTGGGATGCTGATCTTTCTGGGTGTAGTGTTCCATTGCTTGAGAAAGCGCAAACAGCAAGACGAGCCAAAGAGCAAGAAGCTGGAAAAGATGAAAAGAAACTTGATTGAGATGAAATATGGAACTGAACTGGAACAAGGGACTATATCACAGCTGTCCCAGAAACAAATTCTGTCCGCTAGTGAGACTGTAAAAAGGATGCCATACTTGCCAACTGCCAGTGACTCAGATCAGTATAAGATGCAAGAGATCTCTGGGACACCAAAGACCACAAAAGGGAATTACATGGAAGTGAGATCAGAGCAACCAGAGCGCAGCGTTAGGGAATGCAGCGTTCCTCCATCAGAAACCAGCCAGGGATCTGTTGCAGAGATATCCACTATTGCAAAAGAAGTGGACAAAGTAAACCAGATCATCAACAACTGCATCGATGCACTCAAATCCGATTCAACATCATTCCAGGCTGCAAAATCCGGCGCCGTGTCCACAGCGGAGCCACAGTTGGTCCTTATATCAGAACACCCACCGGGCAAGTCTGGGTTTCTGTCTCCTGTATACAAAGGAGGGTACCATCATCCTCTACAGAGGCACCACAGTATGGATGCCCCGCAAAAGCGTGCAAGCACATCCTCGAGTGGTTCGTTGCGCAGTCCACGCTCTTTCCGTTCCGAAGGAGCTTACAGATCAGAGTCCAAATATATTGAGAAAGCATCTCCACTCGATGAGTCAGGAATCATAACAGTCACTCCAGCTGCTGCAATTCTGAGGGCGGAGGCAGAACGGATTCGACAATACAGCGAACACAGGCACTCCTACCCTGGTCCCCACCATATAGAGGAGTCGATAGAGGTGTCGGGGAGCCGGAAGTCATCCATTCTGGAGCCGCTGACGCGCTCCAGACCACGGGAGCTGTCCTATTCACAGCTCTCACCGCAGTACCACAACCTGAGTGGCTACTCCAGTCCTGAGTACAGCTGTAGGCCTTCTCTTAGCCTGTGGGAACGTTTTAAACTCCACCGCAAACGCCATAGGGATGAGGAAGAGTACATTGCAGCAGGTCATGCATTAAGGAGGAAAGTACAGTTTGCCAAAGATGAGGACCTACATGACATTCTGGACTACTGGAAAGGAGTCTCTGCTCAGCAGAAATCATGATTGCCATTTTTATAGCTCGTTCGATTAAAGAAGACCACACAAATCTCTGGACCAAACCAGCCAGTATCAATGATTAAGTGACAAGTCAGCACTCACTTTTAGAGAAATAGCTTAGAAGTATTGCTAGCTCTTTTCAATCATTCTGTTTGAGAATGAAAACAAAATACGAGATACTGTAGATCTTGCAGTGAGTGTACGTGCCAAGTGGTAAGAATAGAACATTTTTACAGTATTAACCTCAACTCAACATTTGATTTTTATATATTGGAAATAACAATAAACTACTATTATATTATCATCATCATCCTCATCATCATGACCATCATTGATTAGTAGTATTACTGTTAAGATTGATTCTTCTTCTTATTACAATTAATCTTTGGTTATCGCATGGCCGTGTCCTGTGACAGTATTGACTGTTGTGTACTTGGAAAAACATACAACTCAAAATGTCTACCGAACACTGTTCTCCCTAACCTTAGATTTTTATACAGACTGTGCAACTTTAAAAACACTCTTTTTTTCTTCTTAGCGACTGTTCAACGACAACTGCTGAATTTGCTACAGAAGCACACCTCTACTGGATTTTGAAACAACAACTTTTCAGAAGAAAAGCTTCTCTTAATGCGTTCTCCATTCTTTTTTGTAAAGTTTACATTTTCAAACATACAAGGAATGTTTCAAGTCCTAAGACTTGCACCTGCAATGTGATTACATACAGACACAGCTGTGCAGGTAGAACTGTTTTTGGCTTTCTATTGTATTTCATTAACAGATCTTCAAGCAGTGCTACTAAGAAAACTGACCCCACAAACTCAACACAAGTCCTGCATACTGGAGAATGAATGTACTGCGTGTTAACACTATTTTTCTCCGATATCAGTTTTACAATATTTGGGGCTTAGTTCAGCTTAAACCCAGTTCGATTCTTGTTTGCAAGACCTTCAGAAATATTTCTGTCTCAGTCAAAGATATTGCTACTACATGCCTACTTTAAACCACTGTGAACCCCAAGACCTTGCTAAATCAGTCCTGGGGTTTGTTTTTTACTGAGATTCAACAGAGCTATGTCGTCTATGGCTTTTAAGCCAGGTCTAAAGTGCTGATCTAGGCAGTCCGAATTTTTCTCACCGCCATTAATGCTCATAGACAATTTAGATTCCACTGATTAGAACAATGGAATTGGCCTCTAAATTTGGAGGAAACAAATTTTAAGACCTGTACTGTGAAACCACACATTATAATACCCTGCTTGATGGAGTGAAATAACATGACATTTAAATGATATCTGAATCAAAGTGCATGTCAAATGTCTGACAGAAAAGTTGTCAACCAAATATTAAGCCCTGTTAATATTAATATTAAGTGCACATAGTGTTGTTTTTAAACCATCATATCCACCGTCTCAAAACACGGGTAGATTGTTTGTAATTTTATCAGGTTGTGTGCCATTTACGGAGGAAATTTCATTTCACCAACTGATTTTATGAATGAAAATGCCATTATCAAACTTATTGTTGAACTGATTTATTGCTTATTGTACTGAAATTGGAGATTGTTTCTCTGTGGCTGCCTAGTCCTGAACATTCACTGTCATCTTGTACCTAATGAAGATTGTTTCTGTTTTGTTACATAATTAAGTTTAAAAGGTTTAGGCGATTCCAGGTCATTCTGAGCTAAATGAACGCCTACAAGGACTAATGCATGATAATAGGGACAAAATAATTATTTAATCCAAATGTCTGTGTAATTAATGAAATGGGGGTCTTCTTTAAACCACCAGAAGATTTCTCGCATCTTTTCCTTAATCTATGAGTAAATACATTTTAAATATTTGATTATTAAACTCTTTGAAAAACATGTCCCTAGTGCAAATCCATACTTTTTAAGGTTCAACTTACATGCCCTGTATCTCATTAACGGGTCTGTTGAGTTGATTGTCATCTCTTATACTGCAAACTGTAGCACTCCAGATTTTCCATGGACACTGAGAGTAAGCTGAAAGAAAATTACTTGGTGAATGTAGAGCAGCCTGAAAACAGCCACATGTATGGGCTGCTTGTAAGAGGGAACGAATGGATCTAAGGGCTTTCATGTCTGGTGGAAATATCAAAGAGCACAATAAAAATGGTTTTATTTCTTAAAGAATAAATACTTTTTTCTCAAAGACATATTGTGCCTCAAGCCGTGGTTCAGCTGTGGAGCTTAAGGTAAGTCCCTGTTGTGTTTTTGTGAGAACAGCACAAACACGTTGAGGTGGGCTGAAATGTAATTGCATGTCCTATAAGATACCTACTGGGCCTCAGAGACTTGCATACCAGAAGAAATGAGCTAATATCAATAGGGTATATAACAAACAACATAAACAATGGGGTTCAAAAGTGTGTGCTGAAAATCTGGTATTCAAAATCAAATATAAACCTGGAAATCAAAAACTGTAGAAACATTAAGACATAATATTAATAAGAAACATTTCAGATTCTACACTATCAATAAGAAATTTTGTGACTGACCATGTGGACTCCTTGCTGCTGAATGTATGATGTTCTTCTTCAAATTATGCTTGAGAACATGATCATCAGGTTTTAAACTTGTGGAGTCAGGTGCATTTTTCAAATTGCTTTTCGCTCAATTTCCATGGTGATAATATCAAACCAATGAAATGAACAGATACAAATAGAAGCATTTGGTCTCAGACTTCTGGGCCTCACTGCACATTGTTTTGATGTGCAGAAATCTTTAAAACAATACTGCAGAAGCAAAGCTACTCTTCAGACCTTATATAAACTTGCCACCCATAATGTCAATGAAGTTGCACTCCTGATGTAAATGAACAATCTAAAAAGTTGCTATGATAAGAAAAGTCAGCACTCCCGCTCTCATTCTATATTTTTTTGCTGACAAAAATTGTCTACACTGTCAGGGAAAATGTGCAAATCTAGCTAATTCTCTCGAAGTTATGACGAGATGTTAATATATTGATCATTTAAAGTTATTTAGTCTTTAATCAAGGTCATAAAACGATAGCACAAACACATTATTTATACATAGTTCATCATAGAACACATTTTCTGAAACATTTTAGTTGGACCGTAAATGTCACTACTTCAGAGAATGTTGTCAAAATGATAAAACAGAATTAAAACAAGTTTTTAAAACAACAACAAAAAACGTTTTTAAAAAACTTGAGCTTTTGAACATCCAGAGAACATTTAGAAATGTATGCAAGAATTTCATAACGGGGGATTAATGCCATTTGGGTGATTTACATTTGATTACATGTGATAAACTGTAATATTTCACAGTCCAGTGAGACTCTGAATATGGAATTACCTAGACAAGCTCAAATCTCAAAAAAACATCGATTTTTTTTAATGTGGTTGTTAAACCCCTTTTCTATAGTTTTGCTTTGAAAGAAGACGTAAATGTAAAAGTGCCTCAAAGTAACACTTTAAAAGGATGTAAAACACATCTCTCCAAAAAGCATGAATTATCTAAACGAGGCACCTGTATGCGCTCAATGTCAAATTGTTAGCAGCTCCTGATGGAGATGACGGGAAGGTATGCGGCATCACTACTCTATCAAGCACTCTGGTGGCTGACCGACTGCACCTGTCACTCAGAAGAGGTCATGGCAACCCTGCACTGGCCTCCTCCATCACAGCCTGTTTGCAGGCATCTTTAATGGAGTGATGGAGCATTTTCAACACACCTATGACACTGTCATGTGTGAAAAGCATAGCAGCTCTGCTAGCGCACCTGAAAGCCACTCCTGTGTTCCATGAGTTTTCTTTTACTTTAAAGCAGGCATTATTAAAAAACAACAACTTGTGCTGTGTCTCATTCCATTCCCTATGTTGTAAGTCTATATATTATGAACACCAATTCAGAGACTAGCAATAGTCACTAATTCACTAAACACTGGGATGCTGATTTTAATAACAAGACAGTCTGTAGAAACGTCCGACTCCCTGGGCAGTGACTACTGAACTAGGGAGCAGATGGAGACACACCCCATTAATTTATGTTGCTGCTGCTTTTTCACCCAACAGAACATTGGGCTTACAAAAGATAGCAACATAAAGTGCACTATGCAAATTATGATGTGCTATTATAACAACATAAATCTTTTTGTACTTAGCTGTATTCTGATTAACAGCGTCCCTATAGTGTTCAATGCTTCTTACATGGTCAGTTGGTGATGTCTGCATGTGTCCAATTCATTCAATGCTCTTCAATGTCATCAATCACAAATGTTTTAAGTATGATGAAACACTTGTTTTAAAATATAAATAAATATAATAGATATAAATGAATGTTGCTGTTAAAGATTTTGTGGTTGGTAAGTTTAAATATTTTAGAAAGTATCTTATGCTCACCAAGGCTGCATTTATTTGATAAAAATGCAATACTATGAAATATTATTACAATTTAAAATATCTTTTTTTTCTGTATTTTAAAATGCCATTTATTAAGCTGAATTGTCAGCAGCAATTGCTTCAGTCTTGATGATTCTATGCATAATTGATGCTCAAGAAATATTTATTATTATCAATGTTAATAAACAGCTGTGCTGCTTAATATTATTTGAAAACTGATCTCTTTTTCCAGGATTCTTTGATAAATTGAGTTTAAAAATAACAGCATTTTAGAACATATTAAAAGTCTTTATGTCACATTTGATCAATTTAAAATATATGTATTCATTTCATTTAAAAAAAAAAAAAATCTTACTGACCCCATAGTTTTGAAAAATAGATATATATTATACATCAACGTGTATTTTTTCTGTGATAAAATTATGTATTTGTTCCATGTATAGTGCCCTTCAGACTGAGTGTACACACTTCCCATATACAGTATATTACCATGGAATCTTATCTGAGCAAATTCCCTGTGAAGTTCATTTAAGTTCAGTTGATCTGAACGCATCCATTTATTTTCAATGGTTCTTATTCACTTTCCTAAACAAAGGATACAGAACAGTGGGCTTGGACTCACTATCACTTACACTGTCACATTTCAGTGTAAA